GGAAAGGTACAAGCCAAACCACGTCTCATGTACAGAGGGATGAAAGATGCAAACCAAACTACGTCTCACGTAGAGAGGGATGAAAAAGTGCAAACCAAACTACATCTCACATAGAGAATGATGAAAAGGTGCAAACCAAACTACGTCTCACGTAGAGAGCAATGAAAAGGTGCAAACCAAACTACGTCTCATGTAGAGAGCGATAAAATGGAGCAAACCAAACTACGTCTCACGTACAGAGGGATGAAAAGGTGCAAACCAAACTACGTCTCACATATAGAGTGTAAAAGAGGAGTAAAAGCCAACCTATCCCTCACATAGAAAGAATGAACAAGCTTAAAGCATGCAACCAGCCAAATCCAATGTCGCATGATAAGGATAGACGCAATAAGATGAATAGGCATGATGCACATGGATGCAACATGATGCAATATAATTTCTATAGTTGATGAGAAATACAATGTGATGCATGGTCCATGCAACATAATCGAAAAGATAAACAGAAAGCAGTAGTTTTGAAAACACCTCACGGGGGAAGTGGCGATGACCAACCATGTTCTGCCGGAGATCTTCCTCTTCTTTTTCTATTTTTTTCAAACTCCTATCTTCAAGTCACAATCAAAGGTTTTCATATACTGAAAAGAGGATAAAACTTTCTTTGAACTCGAGGTCGAGACACATTCATACTTTAGAGAAGTGGCGAGACCTAGAACGGTGCATCCAAAATGACATTTCATAAATTTCTGTAACTAAAACAAACCCAAATTCTTCAATTTTCCACTTTTAAGATGAGTATAAGATCAAATATGCATAGAATGAACAAGATCTCAGCAAAAAACACATCAGCACCACTTGAAGAATCAACCGGCCAAACAAAGGGGTTAGCCGTACAACTTATTGGCCAACCGGCCAAACGTGCCGACATCGGGGGAATTTATAGGTTTTCAACCCGTGGCTCTTTAAAATTCATCTTTGGGCCCTCATTTCACATACACACATGCTGAAAATCACCTCCCTCTCTCTCTACACACACACACACACACACTCTCTCTCTCTCTCTCTCTCTCTAGATTTTCATCCTACTCACTTTACCCAATGACCCACGCAAACTTTATTCGCGAAACCCATTTGGCCTTTTACGTTTTGAACCGATTGGATTTTGTTTTTTTTGGTCGAGTTTTTAGGTTTCTCATTGTTTTTGGCTCATTCTCACAAGTTTTTCTTGGTTTTCTATACTCTCTTCTAAGTTTTGACCTTTTTCTCTCTCCCAGGGTTTTAGTTTTTAGGTTTCTCGTCATTTTCCTTATTTTTCTCTCACCACCCACTATATTATTCATGGCTAATGGTATCCCACATAACGATGCCCTTCCCAAGGTGCTAGTGTTTCCACCCGCTGTGGGGGTGAAGAAGCCTATGACTGAGGAGGAGGACGGAGCGGCAGGAGACATTGCCGCTAACATTGCCACGAAGGAGATCTACCCTCCAGAGCCTGAGCCCGAGCTACCATCGTTGAGGGTGAGGCCTTTTGACTGAGCCATATACCATCCACGAACACATGCAATGGCAGCATGTTACAGTTCGAGGACTTTGCTTGGGGTGCACCCGAGGACTTTCTCTTGCGAGAGCATGCATCACACCTCTCCTACGACGCTTCAAATGTAAGAACTATTGCTCCTTTTTATGTACTTTGCTTGCTTTTCCATTCATTACAGTCTTTCATCTGCCATTCATTTTAACAAATTCCTTTTTTAACACAGGGTGATGCTATTGCCTGGAGAGGCTATGAGGCAGTGACTGCGAGGGACTGGTACCAAAAACTCCCTACCAGAGTCCAAGAGTTGGTTGATGACGCAGACTTTGACCTATTTTGCTCGGGGCTCTCACAGCTACAAGCGAGCCAACCCTTGCTTGGTGCTCTGGTAGAGAGGTGGTGGGACACCACCAACTCTTTCCACTTCTCTTCCACAAGGGAGATGACAATGACCCCATACGACTTCGCCATGATTATAGGGTTGCGAGTAAGGGGTGATCCGATCCCCTTCGATCTTGACATGGGCCAATGTGAGGCTACTTGGATTTATCTGCTTAGGGCACGCCCTCCCTTGGACAGGCCAACTATGGTGAGGTACAGCTGGTTCTATAACTACTTCCATGGGAGTCAGCCAGAGACTCAGGAGTAAATTGAGTAGTACACCCAGGGCTTCTTGATCTATCTTCTCAGTACTACCTTGTTTGCAAATAGGTGGAACACCATAGGCCTATATCTGCTCAGTGCTTTGGTGGTATTGCCGCAGATCCGTTTCTACGACTGGGGTGGCATTGGCCTCGCCACACTATATGGCTATATGAGCTCAGGAAATGATGTGAAACTAAAACATGAAACGATATGCAACCACTATAAGAATGTAAGTAAAAGAGAGAAAGAAATGGGGGTTAGAAGACATACAAATATTACAAACTTGCCCTCGCGTAAGAGGGTCCGAATGAATGTCCTAATTAACTAATTATTACAACACAGTAGAATGAATTAATTAATTAACTATTACAAATTCAAATGAAACTAAAGTAAATTAATTACAACACATGAATCTAAACACTACTAATCTAATGGAATTGAACGGGAGGTAAGGAACCGCTTGCACACAACCGAGAACACCTTTCAAAAAACTCTCTATTTTCTGTTAAAACCTGCTCTATTTACAGTTAGAAAATTGTTCTGTTTTGGCCTTAGGATCTACTCTGTTTCACTGTAAAAATATCACTGCCTGTACAAAAATTGGTGGCCGGCCGGCCTAAGAGAGTGGTCGGCTGTACAGAATGATGCCCAACCAGCCACTGTTTCTGGGAATACCCTATTGCAACAGAGCAAAATAGTGTTTCCAGGAGATGTTTATCCTCTTTGCCCTTTCCTATCATGAAAATGATCAAGGGAGGAGTAGATTCGATTCTCAAATCATCAATCATCGCAAATTTGTTGCGTGATGATCTTAGAAACCATAGGACAAGAGCTCAATAAATGAAACAAAAGATAAACAATACCTCCTCCCTATCATGGAGTTACATCAAGGGAGGGAGTAGACTTGCTTCATGAATCATTTAACATCACTGAAATATTATGCAATGATTCAAGACGCAATTGGTTCAATATAACGTCCGACTGAACGTAACCAAACTTTATTATCTTTTTACCCTTTTTACTCCAATTTTATTAGCCTTTTTTACTTTACCCTTCCATTTTCTTATCTTTTCTTCCTTTTTGTCCAAAGGTGATGATTTCGTCCACCAAGTCCAAAGCAATAAAGAATAGCAAGCATGACTTGACCCAAGAAATGAGCTTTTCAAGCCCTTTTCTATAGGGGAAACTACAAAGGAAGAATCAAATTCATTTACAAGCAATAATGAATTTGGAGTCAAACCCAAAATGAGCAATAATAACTCCAAATCCAAACCCCATAATGAGCTATAATGACTCTTTCTTTTGTGATTTCCAATGGTCACTACAAGAATTTACACAATTGCCGACCACTTTTGCCGACTAAAAAAATTTTAGTCGCAAAAAAATGGCATTTGGCGACCAAATATTATTGGTCGCAAAAGGTTATATTTTGGCGACCAAAAAATGAGTTGGTCGCAGAAAGTGGTATGTTTTTGCCAACCAACTATAAATTTGGTTACGGAAGGTCACATATTTTTTGGCGACCAAAAATTTGGTCGCCAAAAACTTATTTTCAACAACCAAAAAAATTTAGTCGCCAAATTAGTACTTTTAGCGACTAATATGTTAGTCACCGTTGATTGAGATTTGGCGACTAAAAAAATTTGTCGGCGAAGGTACCTTTTCTGCGACTAATGTGGTCTTTTGGTCGCCAAAAGTTTGGGAGGAAAATTTGAAACTTAGTGGGGCGGGAATTGAATTTTTTTTGCGATAAAAAAATTTGGTCGCCATTTACAAAACGACGTCGTTTTGTACCATGAAAGCAGAAAAAAGAAAAAAGAAAAAAAAAGAGCCCTAATCTCCATTGTCGACTATCTCGCTCTGTGTCTCGGTCCACCCTCTCCCTCTCTGTGTTCTTTCTCTCAATCGGTGCCCTCAATCGGTCCCCACTCTCTCTAGCTCACCGAAGTCCCTCACCACCGTTGCTCACATCCGTCGCACATCGTCACCACCGCAAATCGCCATCGCCCTCTGTCTTTCTCTCACACAGATGGAGCGATTGCTGGGTATTCGCTGCTGTGGTTGTTGCTGGGTATTCGCCAAAGGCATACGTATGCATACGGTACCGTGATTTTTGCACTCTCTATCGTCGGTTGAAGACATTGTTTACTGGGCAAGGCTGGTTTCTCCCTTCTACCTGGTCCTCTGTCGAACGGGTATCCAGAAAGATTTTTGGGAATGTCTCTCCTGTTGCTGTTGCAGAGAGAAGTGCCCTAATTCAAGAGTGTTTACGATCCATTCTGCACTCCAGGTTTTCATCCAGCCTGGTCCTCTATCTAGTTAGCCATAATTTAATTTATTATTTATTTATGAATTATTTATTTATTCATTGATGATTCCAGGGTAATTTACTAATTGGTTTTAAATCCTGATATGTGCTTCAGTTATATTCTTTTTGACATATCTTTTGAGCCACAACATCAGCAAAAAGATACGGCAATCCCTGATTCTTCTTTGCGAAGCTCATTTTGCAATATTGTACATTATTCAGATTGATCTTGTCTCTAATTATTTGGAGCAAACAGGGTCGTTGAGCCTGGAAATTATATCTCAGTTAGGTATGCTTGTATGTTACTGCTTTTAAGAGGACATGGTTATGCTTTTAATAATTGTTCCTCAAGGGAAAGTTAAATTTTGTACAATTGTATACATTTCACTTTCTTTCTGTTTTTATGTTTTTTTTTTTTTTTTGTTTTCATGTGGTACTTAATCAACAAAACTTCTATTTGAAATGATGTAGGACTCCTTGAAAGTGACAGTTCTTGGGATTTCTTGAAAATAGCTTTGCTTGTATGCTTATGTGCAGTTCATAACCATGGTTTTGAAATGTTATTTTCATTCTCAGCAATAGTGCAGCATGCCCCTTGCCTTCCATTTGGATTTAGCATCTTGAAAGCTGGTTTGAATAAATCAGTTCTATTGTCAGTTTATGCCTCATCAACCATCAGAGATAGTCATACTGATGGTTCTTATGGTATGACTTTATTCGAAGTTTCACGGACTATTTTGGAATGACTTTTTATCTTTATCTTTGTCTTTGACTTCAGTCGGCAATTTTATTTAAAGATTTGGTATCATTTTCACCACAAAATGTTTGTTCCAATGAAGTTGAAATATTACTTGGTATATCAAAAACTGAAAACGGTGGTTGTTAGACTTGAAGTTGAAATATTACTTGGTATATCTATCTATACATAATGCTATAATGAGTTACTGAGCACTTACACTAGCCAAGAGGCATGTCAATGATTGCATTTGGTTTCTTCCCACTGAGTCCCTAACAAAGGCCAAAGTCTTACCTCTAACAAGCTCCAAGAACTAAACTGCGTTGAAGAGAGGTAACTCACATTCATCTGTTTTTTTAAAGGTTACGACATGACTTTTCATGTTAATATAATCATGATTTGTCCAATGAAGCTATAGCATGCCAAATTGGCATCAATTTAACACTATGGTTACCATTTGAATACGAAGCGTCTACACCTAGCATTGGGTAGATCGCATACAATAACTGTCTAAAGTCCATCCTATTTTTTGTTTATTTTTTCTAGAATAATCACATACACTTTTTTCATTGTAGATCTACTACTAGAAATTCAATATGTATTCTAGGTGTTTCAGATGCCTATTATATCTATTTTATGTCTCAAATTGGATGTCCAAACATATTTGCTCAATGCTCTGCACCGATAGCCAGTGAAATTGGTAGCCTATTCAATTTTCTACTTATATTTAACTGCTCTACAATATAATAAAAGTCCATGAATTATATTGAACTGCTCTGAAATACAACAAAAGTAAAGTTTCCTTATGGCATTTTCATGTTTTGGCTTAGAAACCTATGTTCAATGAATGTTCTGCAGGCGTCGGCAACTACTGATGCAAGCTATGAGTTTGTGGTAACTACTACTCAACATTCTATTAGAGATGCTAATAACCCTGCTAGGTAACCCTCTAACATCAATGCCATTCCCTCCCTCCTCCCCACTATATGTAGTATTGTAATATTGACACTGTTTTTATCTAAATTTTATGCTTTTGCATACTCCTTTCAATTGCAGAGGAGACCTTGACAGAGTTCCTTTCAAAGGTTACGGGAACTACTGTCGATTGGGTCCAGATGCCTGGGATGAAGGTTTTGAATTTGTCTTGTACCAATTATTAATATTTGGAAAATTTTCATTGATTCATTTTTGGTCTGTAACAAATGTGGAATTTATGTATCAAACTAAACTTTAGAAATTAATAATGATTTATTTTCCACAGTTTTCTCGACAAACAAACAGATGGTAATTGCAATTTTCATATAGAATAGAAATAAGAAGAAAAAGATAATAGAAAAGAAAAGAAATGAACCTGAAACAGTCAGAGAGCACAGGAATTCCGCTGGTAGGCGATTTGGGTTGAAGAGAAGCAGAAAGAGGGAGACCGAAATTGATGTTTGAAGAAGAAGAAGAAGAAGAAGAAGAAGAAGAAGAAGAAGAAGAAGAAGAAGAAGAAGAAGAAGAAGAATTTGATTTTTTATCAGAAAGAGGGGCAACGGAGGAGGGAGGTCTCTGCACACCACAAGGAGTTTAAGTGAAATTTGCTCTATCTTCTATTTCAATAATTAAGCAAAGCATTAGTATAGTCTGTATGATATTGTTGTGTCCAAAATGAGAGTAATGCTAATATCACTCTTATTTTGTTAGATTGAGGTAGTTTAATTTAACTCAATGAGTTGCTGGACAAGTGTGCATGAATTACATAAGAAATATGTTCTTTTTCTCAGTGCAAAAGCATCAGTGAAGTTGGTCTTATTGGATGAAGCTGATGCCATGACAAAGGATGCACAATTTGCCCTTCGTCGAGGTAAAAGCATATTTTATGTTTGTTTATTTTTCTGCTCCAAAATATGATCATATTTATTTTATGTTTGTTTATTTTTTCATACACCTAGTTTTCCATGTTCATGTTGCAGTGATTGAGAAGTACACAAAAAGCACTAGGTTTGGACTTATCTGTAATCATGTCAACAAGATTATTCCAGCTCTGCAATCAAGATGTACTCGATTTCAGTTTGCTCCTCTTGATGCCATTAATGTCAGTGAGCGACTTAAACATGTTATTTAGGCTGAAAGGTGAGTTCCATACAACTTTTTTGGGGGCAAGCTTATTACCAAACAGTTAAACTGCCCCGTATATTGTAATGGAATCATTCTTCCATACAACTTTTTTGGGGGCAAGCTTATTACCAAACAGTTAAACTGCCCCGTATATTGCCATGGAATCATTCTTAAGCAACATTGCTTTTTATTATTATTATTTTTTCTTTTATGCCAAATAAGTTATTCCTTTTTTCTTTTCTTTTTTTATGACGGAAAATACATATCATGATCTGCCTTTTGTTGTTGATCAAAAAAAAATCTGCCTTTTGTTGTTTATAATTTGTTATAATGACTTGCAGCTGGTGTGGCATATGGCATTTGATGAGTGTTATTTATTGCAACATGAAAAGCTTTAATGCCACTTCTTGGATTATTCATGAATCCATTTTGCACTGACCAATTGTGTTAAGCTTGGGTTCCGACTTTTGTGTCTTTGGGGAATGGTCTCCCCTGTTTGGACTCTCATTTTGGTGATCAATCCAAAATTATCAAGAATACTCACTTTAACAATGTCATGGCCATCAATTTTCAGTGTTTCCTTGTCGCACTTTGTCATATTTAGGTTCTTCAAGGGTTTATTTGATAGCCCAACTTAACAGAGCCTACTTGTCTTAAAAGAGGCCTGCATGGGGTTTTTATTGCTTCTTTATGTGTGACAATTTCAATAATTTGAGCTCATCAACATGAGGAATAGCAGGTTACTTGGAAGGCTGCTATGTTATATTTTGCCTTGCTACCCTGAAAAATCAATAAGATGTGAAGCTATAGTTATCTTGATTTGGTTGTACTTCTGTAACTAGTGTTATTGATTAATACTATATGATTTTGCTAAACTAGGCTTGATATACCTGGGTGTGGCTTAAAGGCACTTGTACGACTTAGCAATGGTGACATGAGAAAGGCTTTGAACATTTTACAGGTTTTAAAATCTTTTACTCCTTGCTTTTGTGTCTGTGTGAGTGCTTGTGTGTATGATTACTTCCAGTTTCACAAAAATACAGATTGGAGAAATTATAAGTGTGTATGATTCTATAATTTCTCTATATTACTAAATTAACACCAGAACCAGATCAATAACTGCCTTGTATAAAATTTGAATAACTAAGATTCCCTTTCTTCCTTTTACCTCTTGACACCGTGATTGTACTTCTCATATTCGTGGTATGATCGACTTATACCTCTATTCTTACACCCCTCCAGAATTTTTTTGTGTGATACACATTGCACAAAACACACCAATGGATTTCATTTTATCCATTGCACAAAACACATTGCACACATTTTTCACTACTTTTCTATTGGAGCCATGTAGTTATGGTTGAATAGAATACCACCTTTTATTGTTGCTTTAGTCTCCACACCAAAAGCTAATTTAACCTACACACCAACAAATGTGGAGCAGATTACAAATTTTCATAAATCCCAATTCATTGATTTTGGTTAATTTATAGACAGTATTGTAAATTAAAATTTTAAAAAAATTCAATATAATTATGTTAAAAATGTGTGTCACTTTTTCTTGTTCCCTTCTCATAATCGCATAAAGATCAGACAAATAGGTTTTTCTCTGTTTTTAGCTCTCTCCTCCTTTCCCTTTGGTTTGTTTGTTTGTTTGTTTGTGGATAAAAGCTTTGATTTCCAACCAAGGAAGTACTCTGCTTGGTAATAGTGAATTTTAGAGGACAAGCTGTAAATGTGGTGGTTTTCTATTGTATTTCTAGATTTCATATTTCTTAAATACTTTAATTTAATTTAATTTTTATTTTTTTACAACAAATTGGTGTTTACAAACTAACATAGAGCGTTTTATGCACAATGGCACAAAATAGGAGACTTATGCATAGTTACATAGTAAATGCGTACTTCTTAGGTGCATATGACCAAGTAAACGTGTTGGATGCTTATCTTAGGTCGAGTGTCTGACATGGGTACCTCACACATTTATAAGGGTCCATGTAATATAGATTATAATAAAACATTTTTGAAAATAAGGTCTTCTGTACTTTGTTCCCAAGTAGTGCATCATAAAGCAGGAAAACATGATCCAGTGAAAACTACTTCTAACATTGCCTTGGTTGCAAAACTTGAGGGCAAACTGAATTGATATAGCTGTGTGTTAATGCATTCCTTCCTTTCTTTCCTTTTGTTTTTTAGCCTGCAGGGAGGGAAGGCGGTGTGGGAATTGGGGTTGGGGTTGCTTGGAAAAGTGATAAATAACTACATTGATTGGTTCAGTGGGCCTGCCTACACATATGTAGAAAACAGCCTGTGATACGTATTCTCTGCATTTTTGTTAAGCATCTCACGAATGTTGGTACTCTGAAACGTAATTGCCCGAGCAAGAGTCTTGACTGCACTGGAAACTTTAGATTATATTTGAGTTACAAAGGGTTTAGGTTATCCCTCCATTTGAAGAATCAAAGCTTAAAGCCCCACCAATCTGAAGAGCCCACATCAAGTATCTGGGCCAGGAAAAGATAGAAATGTCCAGCACCTTAAGAAGGGGCTGCAAATTCTTTAAATTTGACATCCTTGGGATGAACTGAAAATTCAATATATTTGTTTCTCCTCTCTTTTGACCCTTCCACCTGGTTATGTTTGCTAGCAGAGGCATATATTATTGCTTGTCCTTGAGCCATTCAATTATCTCTTCTAGTTCTCAATTATTAGACTAACCAAATTCTAATTTAACCATTATTTTTTTCCTTTTCCCCAGAGTTGCAGGACATTCTCCTTGGAATTATTAACCAATTTTATAATATCATTTTCTTTTATATTAAATGGATCTGTTTATTCTTAACACTGAAAAGATTCTCCTTATGTGTTTACTCACTGGATTTCCTTCTTTCAGGGCCCGATAACTTGGACAACTTGAGGAAGCTGGCAGAGCAGTTCCAGAAGCAGGCACCTGGTGCCGGTGCAACTGCTGCGCCAGAAGATGACGACGACCAGGTTTCGGACCTTGTGGCTGGTGAGACCTTTGAAGCAGCTGCAGAGGAGAGAAACTTAATTTTATTGAGACCTTGTGGCTCTTAGTTATTACAAGGGAGGATTAAATATTTAGGTTCCACAAGGGAGGATTAAATATTTTTGGATGGATGTGTATGGATAACAAATATTAGTAGTTTTATTTGTTGATAGCTGCGCATGGATAACAAATAGTTATGTTTCAAATTGTTATGCTAGATCAATGTGACTTGTGAATGAAAGCTTAGAATAGTTGTATTGTGTCGAATGTTAATGAATTATGTATTGTGTCGAATGTTAATGATTCGGTTAATTTGAATGATGCTTTAAAAGTATAGGTTTATTATGGATTGAATGAATTATTAGAAATTACAGGTGTATTGTTTTCCTGCTTTGGAGACCAATTTATTAGTCGCGACATCCAAAATAAATTTTTTTCGTAAAAAATGACAATTGCCAACTAAGAGTTTTGATCGCAAAAAATACATCTATTGCCGACCAAAACAGCTCTTGGTCGTGGAAACTCACTTTTGCCGACCAAAAGTTTTGGTCGCGAAAAGTAACAAATGGTGACCAAATTTTTTGGTCGTGGAATGTCACAATTGGCGACCAAACTTTTTGGTCGTTGAATGTGATAATTGGCGACTAAACTTTTTAGTCGCGAAATGTGTCAATTGGCGACTAATATATTTGGTCGGGAAAATATCACTTTTCGCGACCAAAGTGTTTTAGCGACAAAATGAATTAGTCGCGATAATTAAATATTTAGCGACCAAAAATTTAGTCGGCAAATCCAACTTTTGCCGACCAACCAAAATTTTAGTCGCGAATTACTTTTGCCGACCCTCAATTGGCGACCAAAGTAGCGACCCAAAAAATTGATCGCGGATAACTTTTGCCGACCAAAAATTGACTTTTAGCGACCAATTTTTTTGTTGCCAAAAGTGTTAATTCTTGTAGTGGGTCTAACTAGAAAATTAGTCCCTTACAAGTGATGCACCGGCATCAAAGAAGAGATCATGGTTAGCATAAGAGAGATGTAATGCCCTGGTAATAAACCTCCAAAGAGATTAAACCATTTAGCATGAGGGGGTCTGTAGACGTCCCCGAACGTCCCGGAAGGATGAGTCTCGTTCTGTTCATATTGGGCTCACTACAGTTCAAACTCTCGAATTGACACGGTTCTTAATCTGAACCAAAGAGTCCAAATCTAGCAAATCGTTTTGAGAAAAACAGATTTTTAGAAAAGAAATGCCAAATATGTACTGCTTTGCCAGATACAGAGTCGCCACCTAAATATTTTATTTTGGGGGAATTTAGGAAACCCTGACTCGTTTGCCTAAGGCCACGTGTCCGTCATCACCAAAGTTGCCTCAGCTCGGGAACTTGGGTACGATTGGGGAAGATCAGCTATGAGCACCCCGTCGCCTAACAAAGATCGGGCCCCACTAACCATGATATTTGTTGAAAGCATTATGTGTTCTTATTCGGTTATTAGCCTAGAATTACTATGTTATGCGCACAGCAAACAAGTATAGACCAAATCGCCTAAATTAGAACAAAACATTGCATGTTTGTTTTGAAAATGGTTTGCTACTCGCAAGTAGGCTAAAATGCAGGTTTTGCCACCCTCAAGTGGGCTTTGAAAAGATGATTTTGCCACTATCTAGTGGGCTTAAAACTCAGAGTTTTAATGCATTATTCTAATTTAGGTAATTCAACTTCCACCCAGAGGCATTCAAGCAGTTATATCACATAAGCAAGTAGCCTCATGGTAAGCATGCTGTCATGGAAACACTCACACGCATGCAAGGATGCTAAAACATAAATGCTTACCGAGTACTCCAAGCCAAAACAGAAACTAGTTAGTAATCATATGCATGATCCTAGTTCATGTTAAGATGGCTAATGCAACACATGCAAGATGCAGCTACAATAGGTTCGGCTAATCTGTGGATGGCATATGATGATGCTACAACTAACACGTATTCAACTTGGAATTGAAATACAATG